CTTTTTATAATATTTGTGCATAAATAACATTTTATTTTCAGGTGTTATAAAAATTTAAAAGCAATGGCTTCAAAAGATGCTATGCCGAGTGAATTGGTTATGCTAAACGATATTCCAAATAATGAAAAGATATTGAACGAATACGTTTCTGATGGTTATCCAGAGCATAAAAAGCCTCCGTCAGTTTTATCCGAATATAACAAAATTAAAAATATCGATAATCCAGTGGCAAAACACATCATCAAACATTCAACTAAGTTGTCAAGATCTGTAGATGTAAATGAGTTTGAACTCTATGTGAGAAATTCGATTTTCAACAGAAAATTGGAAAATCAATACAAGGTGATTAAATTTAGTATCTAGTGAAGAGTTACTCTTATAAGCATGCAGTTTATTGGTTTAGTTTTGAATGCACTTTTAATAAAGCCCGTTGCTCCAGATTTTCTGATTGGTGCATGCCGGATAGTTTGTTACCTTAGCAATTATATGGTAAATCACAATTCATTGCTGTTAGCAATGATATGGTAAATCACAATTTACGATCTTGCCGACATATTTTACGATCTTGCCAGCCAGATTTCACGTTTAAGCTCTCTATTCACAATTTCTGTCTATAAGCGTTGCCTAATAACGTCAAAAACTGATTTCACAACAACTTCTGTCCTAAAAATTGTGCCGTATTTACGAATAGAGCATGTCCTATTCCGTGTTTATTATTTACATTTCATGCAATGCTCTGCTTCTCTTTTCCATACAATGTTCTATTTGTACACTTATAAGCATTAGTGAATTTTAGGCCAATAAATATGAATTCTGAATTATGAATATTTATAATAATCTATTTGAAAATGCACAAAATTATTATTAATCATAAAATAAGTAAAAATCTGGCGCAAAATTCTTGCTTACCTTACCAGAAACTTGTCAGAAATCCTGTTACAAGAAATACTGGCGTCGTGTCACCGGGCTTAAATTCATGTTCTGCTTGATTTGATTGAAAGTTTGTTTAAAAATTAAATAATTATTTTGCATATATGCCGATTTGTTTAGAAATCGTTTCGAATGTACTAGATGAATTTTGCAACATGATGTACATTTAAAAAATATAATTTAGTATAAATTTTGAATTTCGAATTCCCAATATATCAAAATCGTGGTTTAAAAAAATTACAGTATTATATATTATTTAATATAAATTTTACTATAAATTTATCTGCCAATTTGTAATGAATGTTTTTAATTTCGTATGTGATTGCCAAAATTGATGTTCTTGTATTTTATAGGCCTTTAAAAGTGGAATGCAGAAACCATATTTCTATGGACTACAAGAAGAAAATACAATCAAAAATCGGTATTTAAATCTAATTGCTTGTAAGTATATCTTTAGTAACATAATCAATAAAAGATATATTAATTACACGTACATGAAAATTATGAGTAAGAATGGAATTTCAATAAAAATTGTACAAAGAATACAATGTACACTATAAATTAGAAATAGGTGTAAGTGAGTGCTAGTTGCAAAACTAGTAGTCCTATAATATTTTCGGATGTTCTATAAGACCTTGATTTTATCATGATATCATCGTCATCAAAATCGTCAATATTTGTTAAATAATTACTTATAAACAAATGCCTTGAGCAATTTTTACCCAATAGTAATCAGAATGATTCCCAATCGATGATTGAATTTTTTCAGGATTTTTGCGAAGATGTCGACAAAAATTTCTAAAGAAAAAATAAACAAGGCATATCTAAATATTGAGTTTCATAAATTACTTTTTTTATTCACATACTCACACATATAAATGTTTTTTCTTATTCTGATGCCAAATAATTTATAATGTTAGATTTACTCAAAACCTTGAGTAAAACAAAAAATAACCAAAACAAATTTTACAAAGAAAATATAAACTTCTTCGGAAAGCTTACTACGAAGCTTTCTTAGTAATAGCTTTATTATTCGATTATATGTTGTATTATATTACATCATATATATTACAATCTATATATGTTTTTTACTTTTAGACTTTATGTAAAATTATGTTCCATTTTTTTTTAATAATTACCTTAGTAAATATTAACACTTGCACTAGGCATTTCGTTTTCATCATTTTTGCTAATTTTTGTTAAATTGAAAATAAAAGCTCGAAATTTTTAATGTAATAAGCTATATCAATCCGCCTTTGGAATTTTATATTCGACAATTTTATCGTTCATAACGTATTATATTTTAATTAGCTCTAATTAGTAGATACTCGGGGTATCTACTAGTTTGTGATCAACTTAATTTTACCATATATTTGTCAGCATTATCTGCTTAATGTAATAATATATACAGATTGCAGAATAAAAAAAATCATAACGTATTGTTTCATATAAGCACACCCGTTGTATATAAAATTTACCGATATTTGATTGGAACTTGTAATTTTATTATCAAGTAATTGCGAAAATTCAATTTAAACCTATGATTTTCTAAACCTCGGGACGAAAGGTTTAAATCCGAAACGAATATTATCGGGAGTATTCCGGCCAAACCGGGACGTATGGTTACCTTAATAATACCACAACAAGTAAACTCACAATTTTATTAGTAATACTTTTATTTCATATAGAAATTGACATTAGTAATATATATAAATTGAATTGTTGAAATCACAGAAATAGAAAGATCACAGAAAGAGTTAAAGATCACAGCTTTAGTATTTAAAAAGCACATGCATCAGTTAATAATCAGAGCAGCAATCGTTGAGAATAAGGGCTATTCCAAATCACCATTTTTTAAAAAGCATGCTATCTTTTACCTTGTGCCCTGGCTTTGGCAACATCTGATGCTTCGAGAGTGGTCCTCAGCAACTTTTTACGTTTCTCCTCTCTAAAATCACAAGCGATGTCCTTAGATAAATCTTCGATGATTTCCATAACCTGGTCTGAGTATCTGTATAAATAAAAGTACATAATTAGGTCGCTATATTAATGGTTCATTCTTATTTTGTAATACAAAATAGAGAAACATACGTTTGCTGGATTAGTTGCTAACTATAAATCTATTATTTAGTATCTATTATAATAAAATTATAATTTCATCCCTTTTTTAGATTGTAACCAATCTCTTTTCATTGTTTAATCTAACAGATTGCAGAATAGCTTGATTTAAAAAAAAAACTAAAAAAATTATTATATAATATAAAATTTCAGCACATAAATGGTTCGCTCTCTAAAATAAATACTGACGCCATAACAAACGGTTCATTCACCATATGTGTGTTGATGTTTAGACAAATTTCCAAACATTTTAATCACACTTTTAATATTTTTCTAGTTTTTCATTTTTTTATTTTCCAAAAAAAGGGGAAGTCCCGTAACGCCGGACGGCACTAAGCACCGGACACTCTAATTAACACGTATTATTTAAGCGAGTATAAATCTTTTAATTTCAAAATACAAGTGGAAGGGGCATGGGGGGGGCACTCAGGTACAGGATCACGCGTCAAGACTCGTCTGTGACGCACACGGCCACGGCGAGAGCAACCCTTTCATGTTTTAGACCCAAAATCACGGCGTCACCTTAATATCAATGGAAGTAATTCTAGCATATTTATGCATTTACATTTGAGTGGTATGCAAAGATAAAAGTTGCACTTGATTGTTATCCGTAAAATGGTAGAATATTACTAGATCGTTTAACCAATTTTAGTAGGGGCCGCCAAATGAACGAAAATGTCTGTCCTTTAGCACCGAACACAATGTCGTCCCTTAGTGCCGGACAGTAAACATATTGATATTTCTTGTAAGAATTTACGTAATTTATTTCAATTATTTAATTTTGTTCTGTATAAGTGCTAACGGTCACTACCTATCCCCATTCTTCGTATTTCCTAGTCAAAGAATGAAAATCTTATGATGAATGCTCCAGCTTTCCGAGCATCGGTGTGGCCCAGCCAAAAGGGTGGATAAATAGTGATTTTCTTTTGCAATATCTAAGAATATTCATCAAAGACACAAGTGCAAACATTCCAAAGTGTGAAGATGGCTACATATAAGATCAATGCAGGTTATTTTGAAATGTCCGGTACTAGGTGCCACTGTTTAAAATCATATTTTTGATACCAAAGTTTGATTGATAGTATTAATTATTTTTTAGCAAAGATCGCGGCGTTGTTAATTTAATTTGATTTCTAACTTTGTTATCTAAGATAAATCATAATTTAATAAACATTTCGTAAAATATTTTTTGATTTATTTATAAATAACCTTAGGTGTCCGCCACTAGGGGACTTCCCCCTAAAACTGATTCATATATGATTAATTATGATAGTAATCATTAATAACATCTATATTATTATCCAGCAGATCAAAAAATCTAAATTATAATCGATGAGTCGCAATATTATTTTCAAAAAAAGAGAGCAAATATCATGTCAACTTACTTGCATCCCAAGCATTCAATGTTTATAAATAATTGAGCTAAAGTTACAAGTCTTTCTTCGGAATATGAGTCTTTATGCGTTTCCATAAATTTTTTACGTAAATTCCAATGTGCTTCGGTATCAGTTTCTTTTCGATATTTATCGACATCCCAATCAATGCAATCAATGTTTCTCTTCGTCATTTTGCGTTTTCCTCTAAAAACCTTAATTAGAAATAAATACGCTTGAATATACATTTGCTTGGAAATAAAATAGTCAATATAAATTAATAATATTATATTCAATTAATAGTCTCAATTATTATTAAATTCCCGTAGGGTAAGTTATAGTAATCGTAAAAAATCGAAAATGAAAATTTCTGAGTATTTTTACGTTTGGTGCTTGCATCTGGTAGGCATAACTTGGCGCATGACCCGGGCGTCCATTCACGCCCGGGTCATAATGCTACGTGGCCGAGAGATGTCGAAGTAACCGGGAAAGTTTCTGTGAGTAAATTGTTGTATTTTTATAATTAATTTGAGCGAGTTAATTGCTGCATTTTTTTGTTCGATTTCAAACAATAATTGAAGATTTGAAGCAACTTGCTACAATGGTGCTTTTGGACCCTAAGGTGCTCTACTAGGAATATCGGGCAAAACAATTGTTATTAACATTAGATAAAGTTTAATTGGTATTGATTATTTTTATTTCGCGAATGTTTAACTGCGTTACGGAAAGTTCCACTAATTTGCCTTAAGGCACAGTGCAACGCACTACTTTCTATAACGTTTCTATTTCTATGAATGTTTTATTTCTCATCTTCATATAAATATATCATACTGTAATGTACCAGGATTTCTGTTTGCAAAGATTAATATAAGGATTTCTCTTATATTTCGTTGAAATGTTGAAGATTCTGAACTAATTTAATCCTGGTTTATGTAAGTTGTTAATAAAACTCATTTACAGTCAAAATGAATTTTATTAACAACTCAGTTATGTCATAGATAGTCATCAGATATGTTATAGACAGTCTAAACTTTAGACTATCTGTAACATAAATTGTTCTTTTAATTTGTATAATTTATACGATATCTGATTAAAAAATATGGAACATCTAATAATCAGTAATTAGTAAATTTGATGGTTTGTTACTATCTGTAATAGTTTTGCATAAATGAACAATATTGTGTTTATTATAGTAAATAGTTAATAATTTACCATAATACAGCATAATTATAATCAGATTATGATATATTTTTTAAATTATTTTTAAATTTCAGATGATAGCACAAGAGTTATTTTAGATGCGTTGCCAAACGAAAAATACTCTGATTATATAAATGCAAACTACATTGACGTAAGTAAAGTTAATTCAAATAAATTTATAAAATTCACCACTTAAAATATTTAAAACTTTCAGGGTTTTTTACGTTCAAAAGAGTATATTGCAACACAAGGTCCAAAAAGAGAAACAGTCAACGATTTTTGGAGAATGGTCTGGCAAGAAAAAGTTTCTACTATTTGCATGTTGACTAACATCATAGAATCAAACAAAGTAATATATAAAATATAGTTTCTGAATATTTAAATAGAAATAATCACAATATTGTTTTCAAAATCAAAAGGAAAAATGTTACCAATATTGGCCGAAACAACAAGGTGTTAAAGAAACTTATGGAGATGTCACAGTCCAACACATTACTTCCCAAATTTATGCAGATTTTGTTTTTAGAACACTACAAATAAGTAAGGGCACGACAAGCTATCTTGTAAGTATAAATGATTGTTTCTTATTTGGCAGAAATTTTATAAAATTAATGTTTTAGCTGCAACACCTGCATTTTACATCTTGGCCTGACCATGATGTTCCCATGTATCCAGAAACTCTGGTTCCTTATATGAAAAAAATGCAGAGCCTTCAATCTGATCAAGCACCCACAATTGTTCATTGCAGGTAATTGTTCATATTTTAATTCTGATAGTTTTAAATTCAAAGTATTTAGCAATTGATAAACCTTTCAGCATGATAATGCTTTAAAATTGTGATAAATCAAGATTTATTGATATGTAAGTAAAATGAGCTTTTTAGTTGATGTTTTATTACTTCAAATAAAACTTTCTAGGTATTACCTTAAAAATTTAGTAGTTACTAAGTATCATCTTAGAATAACATCCATTAATTTTTGATCATTTTGTCAATGATTATGAACTCTTAAATTTTTTTATTTCACTGAAACATTTGATTTGATTTTATGTCTAAAGTTTATATCTGTCAATTAGACTTTGGAAAACAAAAATATAACTGGTTGTTATAAAAACATGAGAATCTTATAGCTTTAGTAGTTATATATGAGGAAGAAATTTTCTTGTGATCTATTTTCTCATGAAAATAACCGGTAGAAATACTCAGAATAGATAGTGTTAGTTTTTTGTTAAAAGAACATAGAATGTGAAACAAAAACATATTTATATAAACTAGTGGTGCATGGTAGGCAAATTGCTGGAACTTTCCGTACCGAAAATTAAAGTTTTTATAAAATCTCTAAAAACCTTTGAAAACTTTGAAAAAATGAGATTTTTGAGAGTTTCGAAATTTTTGGAAAATATTGACTTTTTTGAAAAATCAGATTTTTTTTTATATTTCGAAAAAAAAATATTTTCAAACTTTTTTTCAAAACAATCATGCTGCGTGGCTGTTTTAGAGAAGAAATATCAAAGCGCGTAAGCGCTGCAACGCAGTCTAACGGATAAACATTGGTGCGGAACCCATAGAAATATAAACAAAATTCATAATAATTATTAAAATTTCTATAAAATATCTGATAATGTGATGTGCATATATCTAATGATCATTTTTACCACCAAATGGTATTTTGTTTAACTTTTTTCACTCGATCTTTGAAACCGGTAGACCTGCTTTCGCAAAAATTTAAACGGTACTTCGTTTTGTCAATACAAATAAAATGTTATTTGAATTATTCAAATAGGACGCTCTGTTCTCTCAAAAACTGAATTGCTATTTTTGGCTCTTTTTGCTCGTACCTTCAAAACGGCTAGACCTGCCTATGCCAAAAACTCCTTATCAATACGAATAGAATGTTATTTCGAATTATTCTTTTCGGTTAACCATGTTCCCGAAATCGTCGACAAATCGTGTGTGTATCCGCACACACAACATATACATAAATCAATTTTTTCTAAGGTATGCCAAAATGTACAGAAACCTTTGAAACGTAAAGATACATAAAATTTTTCATTTTCGATTTCCTTGTTGATATCGGTACGCATACAACGTTGATGCCGGTACGCTTACAACGACAGATCTCTATTCACAAACGCGACGACTAATCACAATCGACCCGTATAGAAATGATATCATCGAGAGCGAATGGTGAATCATTGGCACTCTACTCTGCCGTAACGCACTTCCGTTGCATTTGTACGGATTTACACCCTAGTCGCGCCTAAAGAAGTTTTACTTTACTAAATTGCCAAATGACGGCAATCTCGAAATAAATATTTAACAGAGCATAATAAAGAACACATATTGAAATGCATCCTAACAGGTTGATAATCAAAAACTAACATATTTTATTATTTGCAGTGCTGGTGTAGGCAGAAGTGGTACAATCATTCTCTCTGATATGTGTATCAAAATGGCGCTATCAACTGGCCAAATTGATGTCCTTCACAATCTGCACAAAATTAGAGAACAAAGGGCCAACTTGGTGGACAACACTGTACGTATTACATAATTTGATCAACAAATTGATTGCAAGTCTATTGGAATCAAATATTTGATATTTACAAGTATTTAGAATGCTATAAATAATTTATTATAATTATTTCTTTACCATACCAATAATTGGGACTGTAGCCAAATAATATGGCATCATTCGTAAAGTCGAACAATACGACACGTTTGAACACGAAATATATGACAACATGTGAAGAACATGGTTGCTACAATTTTTGTGCATATCTATTATTATATCATTCTATCAAAAAAAACTATAAAATCTTTAAAATCTGTGTAATTGTTACTAAGCATAATACTAACATAAAGTACTACAAAATTTATAGACTGATCTATAAAACAATCCCATAAAGGAAGGCATTGTTGAACATAATACGTCTCACTCAATAATTTTTATGAAACCGCAAAACAAAATAGTTCACGTCTTCGCTTGTTATGAAATTCACTTTTCATAAAAAATAATTTGAAAGATAAATGTGTACAAAATTGAATAATTAAAAAAAAAATAACTTCGTGTGAGACAAAACAGTTGTTCCATAAAAGTCTGTTGTTTCAAAAAATATTAACAATTACCTTGTAAAGCCAGTATTCCTAAGATTTAAAAAAATAATAAATTTGGTTGTAAAATTATCACTTATTACTTTCAGAATCAATTCAAAATAGTTCATATGCTTGTTTTGGAATGCTTATTTGGAGAGTCTACAAGTATTCCATGTGAACATTTGCTAAAAACTGTAGCCGAAATGAAAAGTCGTAATGAAATGTTCAAAATGTGGAAAAAAATAGACGATGTCGCATGGAAAGATGACTTCGTTAAAGGAATAGACAGTGAACCATCTCAAGAAGATATTGCGAGAAAAGAGAATAGAAATAAAATTGTGCCAGGTAGATTTCTAATAATTTTAAATCCATGCTTTCTAAAGAAAAAAATATTTTTACAAAAATATTTAGCATTATTCTTATAATAGCTGGAGCCTAAAACCAAGCCCGAAATCCGTACAAATGCAGCAGAAGTGCGTTACGGTCGTTGTATGCGTACCGGCATCAATGTTGTATGCGTACCGATATAAACAAGAAAATCGGCATAGATAAATAAACATTTTAAAGTTACATTGTAGTACAAATCTTGATTTAATGAAAAATGCCTGAATCAGAAGAATATTTTACCCTGTTACTTGAAAAGAATAAATTAAAGTAAACATTTGGGCCGTGTACTAAACGTAAGCTTATTGATTAGAAATTATTTCTATATTAATCGTAGCTTCTGCAAATCTTTGAAGTTATTAAAATGGAAAATATTTTGACAGACATTACAGCTGTTCAAAGAATGAGATTATATCGCCACCAAAAAAGTAAAAAAATACAAGCAGTCAATGAATGTATGTTAATTCTAATTACATGAAGTTTTTCAAACACAATTACATGATAAGTGAAGTTGTGAAAACAATATTTATTTAGGCGTTGTTGAACATAATCCACTCACTGTGTGAACGAATATTATAGAATTTATTAATCAGCAATTACTTCATTTCTCTAATAAACGTTCATTTCTAAATGCTAATTACAATGACAAACCGATCATGTCATATTTGGAGTATCACTTTAATTACACTACTGTTTTTAAATATTATACATATTTTTAATGCTATTATAAATATATAATTTATAATTTATCATAATATAAATGTGTATAATGGTTGACAGTAATAAATGTGTGCATCACGAGTGTTACAATATTACTAATAAACATTATTCAAAATTGTTATATGATTTATTTATTTTTACTTAAATGCTATCTTGTACAATAGCAAATAAGTTTTACTTCAATCGCGTGTGAACCTTACGCGCACTCTTTTTATTGTTTACTATCAGCTAAAACGTTTAAAATAAAGTACTTTTATAAGTATATGTGTCTCATAATTATTTATACATATTCGTGAAAAAAAATTGTATTATATTAGGATAATTTGTTAACATATGTTAGAAGGATAATTTTACATCTAAATGAGGCAAATTTAGCCTAAAATTTTGGCCTACATAAGGCAACAATACTGTATTTTCTATCATAATGCAACTTTACAGGTGATAAAAGTATGCTTTCATATACTTGTTTATCTATGGCTTTCATGTTTTATAATTAATTTGATTATTTCAGGAAGACGAGGTCGTGTATTTTTGTCAAGATTTCCATTGACAAAAGCAGATTCGGATTATATAAATGCAATATTTGTAGATGGATTTCAAACAAAACGTCAATTTATCGTTACGCATTTTCCTTTACATCATACAGTTGCTGATTTCTGGAGAATGATCTCTGATCAAAATATATCTCTGGTCGGAATACTCAATGAAATAAATACAAATGATAAGGTAAATCTAAAACTAGTATATCGTCCCGTAAGGCAAATTGTTGAAACTTAGAAACAACTATTTAGTTAAAAATTTCCGAATCAAATGCCAATGATTCGTCATTCGCTTTCGATGAAATAATTTTCATACGAGTCTATTGTGATTAGACAACGTGTATGTGAATAGAGATCTGTCGTTGTATTCGAACCGGAGTCAACGTTGTATGCGTACGATATCAACAAGGTAATCGGCATAGATAAATAAACATTTTAAAGTTACATCGTAGTACAAATCTTGATTTAATGAAAAATGTCTGAATCAGAAGAATATTTTACCCTGTTTCTTGAAAATAATAAAACAAATTAAACATTTGTACCGTGAACTAAACGTAAGTTTATTGATTAGAAATTATTTCTATATATTATTCGTAATTTCTAAAAATCTTTGAAGTTTTTAAAATGGAAAATAATTTTAGGCAAGACAGATATTACAACTGTTCAAAGAATGAGATTATATCACCAGAAAAAAAGTAAAATATTGCAAGCAGTCAATGAATGTATGTTAATTTTAATTACATGAAGTTCTTCAAACACAATTACATGATGAGTGAAGTTGCGAAAACAATATTTGTTTAAGCGTTGTTTAACATAACCCACTGTGTGAACGAATATTATAGAATTTATTAATCAGCAATTACTTCATTTCTCTAATAAACGTTCATTTCTAAATGCTAATTACAATGACAAACCGATCATGTCATATTTGAAGTATGACTTTAATTACATTATTGTTTTTAAATATTATACTTATTTTTAATGCTATTATAAATATATAATTTATAATTTATAATTTATCATTATATAAATGAGTGACACTAATAAATGAGTGCATCACGAGTGTTACCATATTACTGATAAGCAGTATTCAAAATTATTATATGATGTTTTTATTTTTACTTAAATGCCATCTTGTAGAGTAGCAAATAAGTTTTACTTCAATCGCGTGTGAACCTCTTACGCGCACTCTTTTTTTTATTTAAATATTGGTTAAAGTATATACGTGTTTTTAATACAATAAATGTATAATAAATTAAAATTAAAATCACTTTTTCAGACTGTTCCACTGTTTATTCCAAATAAGATCAACAAAGTTATACGTCCAATTCCAGAGCTGACAATCCGATATAAAAGCAATTATGAGACAGAGTATTGTTTAATATACACTATAGACATGGAAGACAAAACAAAGGTTTATTTTATTATATATTAATATTTTCAACTCAATATTACTTTCTCAAAAAAAATGCATTTAATCAATTTTTCCGTCATTTTTAATATCTACTCAGTTTTATTCTTAGAATGGTTCTTGTTGAAAATTCAATAGCCTTTCGTTTTTGTAGAAGTCATTTACAAGATTACATGGTTGTATGCCTCATAAGTCATTTAATTGTAACATGAATATTATTTTCTAGAGCAAAGAAGTCAAAAGATCTATCAATATTGTACAAATAAAGAGGTGGAATCCAAATATTGTTCTTCCAACTGATCCTGATGATTGTCTACTCATATTTTGGGAGCAATTACAAAAAATTAACCAAAAGCAGTCACCGATTCTTCTAACTTGCTAGTAAGATGATATTTCACTTGATATGATTAATTTCTGCAACAACTCATAAAACAGTCAAATTCAAAAGCAATACATAAAAAAAACAGTTGATTTATAATTATGACAATCAAAAATTATATTTTTTTTTTGGTACGCATATATTTATTGTTGACCAAAATAAACAATATTTATGTCTTTAAAGAGATTATCTCTAATGAGATATCTCCTTTTTTGAGATTTTCTTTAAGATCGTATGGCCAATCTTCGAGTAGGAGATTTCTCATTGGATTCGTTTAAATATTTGTTTGAGTGACCTGGTAATTTTTCGTGGTATTTTTTAGTTTTTTCTTTTATTACTTCATTAAAAGTTTTCATTTTCAAATCTTTATGTAGAGTGTCATTCGTAAAAATCTATTTCACTTTTTATTAACTAACTTTTGATTATAATCTAGCGATGGATCTACAGCATGCGGACTGTTTACTGCAATAACTTTTGTAGTAGAAAAAATGAAGTTAGAGCAAAGCTGTGATGTTCCTTTAGCCATCCAAACTATCAGGAGACATAGAAAGGAATTTCTAAGAAGTCAGGTAAATAAAAAAAATAATGACAATTTTTTGGTTCAAAACTCTGAAAACCATTAATTTTAATTATTTCTCATATATTGATTACTTTCACAGGTTCAATATGAATATATTTATGACGTGGCCTTGCGGTTTCTAGAAGATTTTGAGTTATATTCAAATTTTCACTAACATCTTGACCAAACATGTGATATTGTATACTATTAAAATATAATTATATGATGTATCCAAACATTAAATATTCAAATATTTACCTATATTTTAATAACAATCTTTTGTAACCTCTAACAACAAATTCATTTTATATATGAAAATAAATAAAAATAATAAATAAAAAATCCATTTTATATTAAAAGTTGTCGTTGTTTTCCATGTGAAATAAGCTTCCAAATTTATTAATTAGTTAAAAATTTACTTTTTAAATTGCATTTGATCGTCGTTATCATATTTTTCTAGTATTTTGGATGTGACATGATAATGCTTATGACTCATATTTTCGCAACTAATCTTGTACTTCTGATCAGTTATTTTAACTGTACAAAAATAGATTTTTAACTTCCCGTGGGGTAAGTTATTGTAATTAGTTAAACCTCAAAAATGAAAATTTTTGATATATTTACGTTTCAGATGTTTCTGAACATTTTGGCATATCAAAAAAAAATTAATCAACCTATTTTATATATTCATAAAGCATTCGATTCAGACTGATAAGGAGACGTACTGAATAGTTTTTGGCAAATGTTGGTTCAGCCGTTTCGGAGTTAGGGAGCGAAGAGTGCTGATAATGATAATTAGGATTTTGAGAGAACAGAGCATCCGATTTGAATGATTCAAATGCATTCGTTTCCTACTGATAAGGAGATGTGCCGATAAGTTTCTGGAAAAAGTTGGTCCGGTTGTTTCGGAGATAAAGGGCAAAGAGTGCAGAAAATAATAATTAAAATTTTGAGAGAACGGAGCATCCGATTTGAATGATTTAAAAAACATTTCACTTGCTTTGATAAATTTTTAGCGAATCTAAAAGAATTGATAATTTTTTAGCGAAAGCAGGCCCGTTTCAGAGATGAGGAACAGAAAGTGTAAAAAATAGTAGTTTTTGAGATAATAAACATACGATTTGAATGATTCAAAGAAATAGTTGCTTGTGAAAAAACTTCAAGTTTAGGAAGGCAAAATATTCTCGCAAAACTTCAAAAAAAAATCAATTCAGTTTATATAATTCTTACAAATTTGTGACAAAATCCGTCATTCCAACTCTGCTTGATTAAGTTTTGTTCATTTACTTTTAATGAAAACATATTTAAACGTTATCGTCCAATTCATGAGCTCTTATATTTTGTCTATAAAATACGAATAATAAAAATTACAGTATTTATAATTACTATTTGAAAACATTTAAAATTTTTCAAATATTTTATTACGGTACGGGATATTTTATATACACCAGTTTTATATATATAACTTTATGCTTCATGATCTTCCGATAATTTAGATTACTTACAAATAATTGACAAAATGGAATTTATAAGTGCTTTATGAGCATGTACACTGTATTTATTAGGATCTCATTGGATTTTTTATTATTGGAGGCAGGTCCAAAATTTTCAAAGATAACACGGTGAAGGAGATATAATATAGAGCATCTACGCATCTTTACTTCGTAGAAATATAGAGGATCGCAAGATATATTAATTAAAAAGAAACTATATCAAACCCTTAGCTCTTCTATATCATAATTTTCTAAATACATTGTACATTGTAAAATTTTAAAAAAGTCCATGTAATTTTATATCCAATTTTCACTTGAAGTCATAGATTTCAAATATGATTTCAAGTCAAAATTGCCTTTCGTGGGCATAGCTGTAGTGGCAACATGCCACTTGGAAGTAAAAGTCATCACTATTACAACAATTGTAATAATTCAGCACATAGAGATGGAACAACTGTTTGGGTTGCCATCTATAATAATTGTAAGATAATTGATCACAACAGCTCATAGAACTCATAGGTTCTGATCGCTGTTAAATATATAAAAAAAAAAAAATTATATCCTAATTTTCCTACATTACTTTGTAAAACTAAGTCACGATCCCAAAACAACAAGCTGGTAATACACACAGCTTGACTAAGAATTCAAAAGTATCAATGAACAAAATATATGCAATAAATATAAGTTTCCTTGTTAGTTTGTGAAACGCGCATGCCTAATTTGTAAACGTTCTCCGTTCGGGAAATAAGTCTATATAAGGCGAATCGAATGACGTTACATGAGTTTAGCCAAAGCCCACATCGTTCATGCTGAATTGCCAAAGACACGACAAACAAGAAATCTTTCACTCCCATAAAACGCGACAAACAACGATCGCCCACGGATCACGCAAAATCTTACGTACATATATATATATAAGGCTGCACAAGCAGAGTCGAATGAGTACATCAGAGTCAGAGATCACGAATTCGATGTCAGTTCTATATCGATTGTATGTTGCGCAATGGCAATAACTATGTCTGTCAGAGATCGCCGAATTTTTATTGAGACAAATGTGAAGCCAACAATAATTCAACTAGTGGTATATGGCATCGCGCCTTAAGACGAATTGGTGGAACTTTCCGTACCAAAATTAAATATTCGAGGAAAAAAATCAGTAATCAATAAATATGATCAATGATGAATAACAATAGTTTTAAAAATTTTCAAGTAGATAATTATAATCACTATATATATTTTGCACAGTGACGATCTTATGGCTCAAAACACTTGAGAAAGTTGACATTATATTAGCAACAGGTGCCGAATGAATCCATCTGGGGATATATTTCTTACGATTAGAATAACGCATTTGAAATATATACATTTAAAATTAAATTGTAAGTTTAAATTCATACTTAAAGTGTAAAAATTTGTATATTTTTGAAAATTCTGAAAAAAAATTATTCTGAAAGTTTTGAAATTTGCTTGAATCGTATAAATGAACTTTAAAAATAAAAAAATGTTGGTATGAAACCCAACAAATTTATTACAAAATTAGTACACATGTTTAAAATATCTGAAAATTTGACGTGCATATGCCTAATGTTCATTTTTGATCGCCAATATAATTTTTTTTTACGTTTTTCGCTTTATCTCCGAAACCGCTGGATCTGCCTTACCAAAAGGTTTATCAATTATTCATTTCGTCATTACAAGTAAAATGTTTTTTGAATCACTTGAAACTGAATTACCGTGTTTGGCATATTTTTGCTCCGTTTCTTCGAAAAGGCTGGGCCTGTCTTCACCAAAAACTAATCAGCACGTCTTCTCATCATTAGGAATCGAATGATTTTTGAATCATTCAAATCGGTTCATTTGCGCGCCCGAAATCGCGGAATTGTATCTGAACGTACACTTACACACATACACATACACACACATACATCAATTTTTTCTGAAGTATGCCAAAATGTTCAAAAATCTTCATTTTCGATTTTTTTGCGATTACTATGACTTACCCTACCAGAAGCTAAAAATATTTAGGCTTATTCTTAGCACTTATCAATGAGTCAAAATTGAATCTTTTATTAGAAAACAGCGATCACCACCACGTGTTTCTTAAGGAAATACTCAGATGACAATTCTGCAACCTTCCTACTCCCCGCAGGACCGTTTTTAACAACAACAAAATACAAAGTGTTCCCAATCACCTTTCAATGTGATGTCAGTACGTTTGATTACTTATATTCCTAATCTTATCGCTTAAGTGAGCAACCCAATAGTTAACCTTTCTTTTTTGTTATATACTTATTTAATAGTATCAGCTATCAGAACTACTAACCCTATAAACTGTTTTTGTTTCGTCCAACACAATTCAATCTAGAAATTTAAGCTTAACCGAGGTTACGTTCAAATCAGACGTGATAAAAATTCGAAGATGTCAAAATAAATTACTTAAAGAAGTTTTGAATGCCCCAAAATATGTATCAAATTTAGACAATTACTAAAGCCTCCTCGAGGATAATCTAAAACCAACTTGCCAGAAAACTACGCCGCAACACAGTCATCTGGACATGAGTTTTGTGTTTGTCAAAGTAATCCGAATAATGGAAAAAGATTGATAGGTTTTATATTATGAAAGCAATTGCACTAGCATTTATGAGGAAAAATATTCAATCAGTGAAAGTAAAGTGGATATAAATATATTCCTATAACACTAAAGCAGGAAGGAAGTCAATCATAGTAACAGACAGAATAAAATTTGGCATTAAAATAGTCGTTATGACATTAAACCAGAATGCCATCGCCTAGAAACAACCGTATGTTGAACTTAAAATTTAGTCATGCTCTTAGGTAAGTTGTTGGAGCTATGGGAAGTCCAAGGATCCTATGCACTTCAAGTAATTGGTTTTCACTTGGAAGCATATAGTTTTCACTATAGATAGCAATATGTTTCCAAGTGATAAGGAAGCTTAAGCCCGGCATTGCTGCATCAATAGAAACACATTACTGTTACAGAAATTGTAACAATATAAATCATCATATGGCAACTGTTTGAATGTGTCATCTAGAAAAAATCTAAGTAGTTATGTCAAGTAATTCATTACAACAGCTTATAGAACCCATAAGTTCTGATCTCTGTTAAAAACACAAATCTTAAGAATAAATGGCATTACATTTGGTCCAAAATTTGGATAAATATGAGCTACAAATAACATGAAATAACAAAGAGTTAAACAATATTATAACTAGTGGTGTATAGCATCGTGCTTTGAGGCAAATTGCTGGAACTTCCCGTGCCAAAAATTAAAATTCTTGAAAAAGATTCAATTTTTTTTTTAACTTGGAACAATTTGATTTTTGAGAATTTTTGAAAAAATGACTTTTGAAATAAATTATTTATATATTTTGAAATATTGTGGAGATTTTGAACTTTTTTCAAAGCAATGTGTAAAAACAAAATATCGAAGCGCGTAAGCGCGGTGTCGCTGTCTAACGGATAAACAACGTTACCGAGCCTATAGAAATGTAAACAAAATTTATACTTATTATTAACATCTCAATAAAACATATGATAATTTGCTGTGCATATATTAATGATCATTTTTGAACGCCAGATGGCATTTTTTTCACTCTATCTGCGAAATCCTTAGACCTGCCTTTCCAAAAATACCGGTTTTTCATATCTACATATATATAA